GTTTCCTCCATGTTCCAGAGCGCATACTGCACCAGGTGGGAGTCCACCTGGGACGGGGCTCTGATTGAACTGTTTCCCACTGTATCTTCAGTGCTGGGCACAGCCTGGCACATTGCAGCTGCGCAAACAAGATTGGATGCCTGGGTGGGTGGATGGATTTTAAAATGCTCTTTCAGACCCAAAGACTCAAAACTGGGTCCAAAACACAATTCTTTAACCAGTTATAGCTCATATCTCTTGTGTTTCTGTTGAAGCATTTGTAAGGTTTCAATTTACCTCTTGAAAGACAAGGACTCATTCATTCTGATCACAGTCAGCCTGTAACAAAAACCATAGTCAAGGCACTAGCCCCACACCTAGACCCCATGCAGGCAGGCTTTTCCTCTGAGTTTCAAACTACAAAACAAGGGCTGACGTGCTCAGGAAACGTGCAAACACCCCTTCCTGGAGCAGCTGCCCTGGCGATCCTGGAGGAATAGAGCTAGGATCATGCTTGCTGAGCTGGCTGTGCTGGAACAATTTTTACTGCAGCATAATGAGTTCTGATATTAGGGAGAACACGAGTAACAGCCACCGCCGCCAACTGCTAATTCTAGAGGTTTCTCCCTATTATCTGCAGCCAAATCCAGCCAGTGTCAAAGAGAGACGAGGGAAACCCCCAGGTACGTGGAGGCCAAACTGAGCCTCACAGTTCAGCAGAGGGGTCAGAGCAGCGGGGCCTGGGAGGCTCGGCAGTGATGCCCACACTTACTTGAGGCTGTAACTGCAGGGAAGGAAGGTGTGAAAATGCACAAGAGAGAAGCCAGAGTCAGTCTGGTCACTAGGAGAAAGTGCTCCGAGCCACAGAAGCCAGATCCAGATCCCAGGTGGAAAGCCCTCTGTAGATGAGTCACCAAAGCTCAGTCTATCACCAAAGCTCTCTCTCAAATTCTCAAAGTTTCTAAATGTGTGACAGGCTGGGTGTGAGCAAGAGGAAACAAACCAGTCAGCCCTGGGAGAGGTGCCTCCTCTCGGCTGCAGTGTACTCGGCATCTGAGCACTTCCTCTGCTTTGTGTGCCACAGGGAATTCCCAGGGTACTGCCTGGCCTGCTGGCCTGGACCCCCTGAGTCTCCAGGGCAGGCCGGCCCGCCACTCAGCCTCTCGAAAAAGGGAAAGGCTGCATGGAGGGAAACCACAAAATTAGGAAAATTTACCTTGGTTCCAAGTGTGGGCCATCTTTTAGCAAAAGGCCATTCTCTACCTTGTTATGGGCAGCTTGAGGTTTGACGGGGAATAACCTTAACGGAAAGGCACCTGAACTCTGGTCCTGGGCACCCAGGTCAAGCAGAGGTCACAGGAAATACTTGGGGAGACAGAGTGCCTCGATCCCAGCCAGTACTTTGGAAGCTATTTAGGGAGACAGGTGTGAATCAACTCATGGCTGCAAGGATTATTAGAGTGTGACCTTGACCAAGACATGTACCTGCCCTGGACCTTACTTATCTCATCTGTAAGACAGGAACATATTAGTGTTAGGCTGACCATAGGAAACTGTTAAGTTTTCATATGGCTCAACATAATTCTTACCTACATGAGATAATCACCTTGGAACTTGGCATAGAAAGGACCTAAGAAATGTTCCTGTTTTCACCTTTTGACCTTCCACCTGTGGACCTCACTGTAACCCTTAGTACAGGAAAGTGACAATAATGACTGGTGTTTCCCGAGACAGGTGACTTCGGTGCAGTCTCACCTTAGAGCTTAGGTGATGAGGTGGCTAACTGAGGTGTGTGAGGGCAGTGACGGGGTACTTATTTATGGTCTATGTCTGAGATTTCATAATTAGAAACGAGTTCAGTCTGTGGTCAGAGGGTGCTTTCTCTGTGAGGGACACATCGTTCTCCAATGAAAATCAGATCTGCCTCCGGAATCTAAATGGACCAGGCCTGGCTGAGGAAGAATACAATCTCTTGTCCCCCAGACTAGCATCCTTCTTTGAGTTGGAGGTAACCCACTGACCGAAGTTCTCTAAATAAGCCCTGGCATCGCACGGTCCCGAGTGTCCAAAGGAACACTTGTTTCTGGCTGTTCAGGGATCCAGCTTGTGGGGACTTGGTTTCTTAAACTCCACTTCCACACACTGCTCTCAGATGCATCATTTTAAAAAACCTAGTCTCAACCCGAGGCTCCTAAGCTCTGAGGCCACCACCCTCACTAGGACATAAGCTCCACAAGGGCAGGGCTGCACTCTATTTGTTTGTTGCTGTGACTCCGGCATCTAGCACAGGGCCTGGCACAAAGTACATGACGATCGATCGATAGTTTCGCAAATGAGTGAATTTCTTCTGCAGGCACACTTACCTCTGGGAATGACTATCATCTTATAGGTGAGAAAACTGAGGTTCAAAGGGATTAGGTGGTTTGCCCAGGGCCCTCAGTTAACGAGTGGCAGAGCTGGAACCTGAACCCAGGCCTTCTGCCTTGAAAGCGCATGTTCCTTCCACCCCCTTACGTGGGTCACCGACCCAGCACGGAGCTGTTCAATGCGTACTTACTGTTGACATGCTGATAACCATCGCTTGTAATCCCAGAAGAAATGGGTGGGGACTTTTTAGCTCAGTTTCTACTCATTTGGAGACAGGACCTAGGTCTCCAAATGCAGCTTTGTGCACTTGACTCAAAGCTAGTGAGCAAGCCTCATCCCTGTGTGGGGAGCAGATCCAAGATCGCTGCTTCAGGGACATCCCTGGTGGCAGAGCGTGGCTGGGACGTGGCAGCCTGTGCCCGAGCCCGCAGCCCTACCCCACATGGGCAGAGGAGGGCCCTGGGGCTTACCATGGACTCGCTGATTAGGAGCAGCAGGAGGGCTTCCTCAATGTTATCCTTCGGGCAGTAGAGGCTGAAAGACACAAAACAAGGCCTGGCTCCAGTACGGCCTCAGGCAGCACCACTGGCCTGCCACGCCTGCCACACTGGCCGTTCTGTCCTGGAGTCAGCACCAGCTCTGGTAAGGTGACCCTCTCCTGCATAATTCACAGGCACCAGATACCGCCGGCAGCTCTTTATCGTGCCCCAGAGTTATGGATCTGAAAGGCTGCAGTGGGCAGACTGGCCAGAAATACTGCAGATGCTCCAGGGGAAGAAAGAGCCCTTCCTGCATCCAGCATTGCATCAAGTAGCTGGGGCAAGGTGCAGGGCAGAGCGAGAGAGAAGCTCTGCTAGGCTGTCACAGACCTCCACCTTCAATTATTGGCACAAACAAGAGAGACGGTGTATTCAGTAAGACTATCAGGAAGGCAGGCGTTCCCTTAATAATTTGTGTGACTTTTGGATGCCTTATAGGAATTTCCTGCCAACCTCCAACCAAAACTTGCCTTCTTTGGTCTATTTGGCTCCTGATGATAGTGAAGGGCCTGTTTGGCAGTGAGCTAGCTGGGTGGCAGCTGGAGGAAAGCATGGGGAAGAGAGAGGGGCTGCCACTGGGGGCCGAACCCTAGCTGTGGCATGAGGCTGGCGTACTGGGTCCAGAAGGGCAAGCAGAGCTTACTTGTCGCCTTCGTAGAGGTGAGGTTTCCGCAGGGCTTGCATGATGAAGGAATTCTCCTCCTTGCTCATAAACTCGGGCAGAGGGTGGGACAGGGGGCTCCAGTAGCACTCTTCACTCAGGGAGTGCAGCAGGACCCCTGCCAGGTGCTTGGCCGCCATCTGGCAGAGAGGGAGGGGCTCAGGCTTAGGTACATGTTGGCTTTCCCGATATGGCCAGAATGCCCTCCATCTCAACCTCTCAGCAAATGTCCCCACTTTGCGAAGTGCTACCCCTTCAGGAGGCCCACTATTCCACTCCCAAGGAACCCCCTCCCACACTGAGGCTGTCTATCCTTTCTATTAGCCTTCCATGGCTCCTCAACTTTTCACCCTCTATCCTCCCCTAGGCGAAAGGTGCATTCCTTCTTTTGCTGACCCCATGAAGCCCAGCACAGCTCTGAGTATATTCACAAGCACTTGCAGAGCATAAAGCCATGGGCAGAGGCAGCTCCTTCTACTAGATACTTTTTTGATATATGACCAGAAATTCAAAAGCGAGAACCAAGCTCTGGTTTGGGGTGAATGAAAGCCTAAGAAGGCAGGCCTAAATTGGAACAGCAAAGAGGAGTCTAGGTTATTTACTAAGATCATAAACAAATTCATAAGAATTAGCACACCACCTTGCTAATAAGAAAGGGTGGCAGTAGCTTTCAATTCTGATCTAAGGCTAGGGGCCCCCTGCAGTGCTATGATGGGAAGGATGCTGAGGGTGCTTCCTGGGCTTAGTGGGAGAGAACGCTGAGACTAACAACGTCTGCCATGAGCACAGATGGGGAGAGCAGAAGTGTGCATGTGCTATATCGCCATCCTGGATTCAGGGGCTGCCTGCTAGGACTTCTGCTGTCTCCCGCTGGAGTCGACCCTGGAATAAACCGGCCACGGCCAGCACCCAGCACCCAGAGCCCAGCCCTGAGGCCTCCCCCGTGTTACCACTTTGAAGTTCTGAGTTGCTTTGGTCTCCACAGTCCGTAGGACCTCCCGGAGCTCTCTCATGCCTTTCACGATATTCCTATTGAGAAGACAGCAGAAGCAAGGTCATTAGCAGCCCAGTTCCTATAAAAGCATCCTCAACAAACCTGCCGGCACTAGGAGCCCGCCTGAGTTTTATTTAAAAACATTCAATAACTGGAACAGAAGGTCAGAGTTCTAACACCAGGACCCTAGAAGGCCAGGACACCAGCCACCAAAGAACTGAGGGATCCCTCTCCCCAGACCCCCTGAAACTCAAGCTTCCAGTTTGCTACTGGAAAGGGACCAAGATCCAGTGTTTCAAACAAGATGTTTTCTTGGCCTAAGAGCCCTGCGCTGCTGTCAGACTTTCTGAATTGAGTTGGTTTCAAATCTTCCATCTTCAGCCTCCACATCTGGTCAACACCAGAATTCATCCTCACCTCTCAGTCCCTTCCACCAGGGCCCTAGACTGGCCTGCATCACCTGGATAATCACGTTGGCCAGTCTCACACCCTCTAGTCAGCCCTCTGTGCCTTAAACTCACTTTCGAGCTTTTTAAAGTGTGCTCCATGATAAAAAATACATTTGACATTGCGATCCAGTACATTCACACACTTTCCTTACCTAAAACTGAAGCAAGTTTCTTGACATTTCACCTATCTCTACTATGTGTAATCCACTCTATTTTTTATTTTGTGTCTCTCCCTACGTCCCTTTTTATAAAATGCTGGCTGCAGCCCACTAAACAGATCTTGCAACCCACTAAGAGTAGTTTAGTGGACTGTAGTTTGGACTGTAGTTTGGACTGTAGTTTGAAAAACTGCTCTCACCACCCTTTGAGGGGTCTACCCAACATGCAAAAGTTATTTGTTCCTCCCTACATTGGCCCCTTTGTTGGTTCCCTCAGCGCTTACAGAATCCTTCAGCGGGCATCCTGGGGCTGTCTGGCTCCGCCTCTTGCCTCTCTCCTATCTCATCTCCCACCATTCAAGTCCTTTCTGAATGACCCACCATGGTTCCCTATGTCAAGCTTTGGCACAGGCATCTCTCACTTCTTTAACTAGCTTTTCTCCTGTTTATCCCTTAAAAACCCTTCCCAACACCACTTCCTCCTTGCAGCTGTCCCAGGTCCCTCCTCATGCTGTGTCACTCCTGTACCTGTTAATTCTTCTTCTGAAGGAAGCATGACATTTTTCAGTCATTTTCTATTTACAGGCTGACCCCTCATGACCTGGGGGCTCGTCTGGCTCCTGAAGCTCAGCCCTGGCACAGCCCCTGGCTCACAGCATGTGCTCAGCATGTGTTCAGCCGATGTCTGAGGACGACCCTTCTCATCTGCTCTAGGGGTTCGCTGGATCACAGCACGAAATGGAAAGCAGAGGCTGATGGGCCAGCAAGTTAAGAAATGAAAAGATCACAGAGGGTGAAAAGCCAAAGGTGGCAGCCAGGAAACTCATGTGAGTCCCTCCTGCAACTTTCATGCATGAAACAGATTCCTGGGGGCTTCGGGGTCTGGAGCCATAAAAGGACGGGTTTTTAGATCAAGCCCCTGCCTTCTGGGAGATCTGGTTTCAGACAAGCAAGCCCAAAATGTACAAACCACCAACATTATAAACACAGACCCTTGTTTGTAGGGCTGAGAATGGAGACAAAGACCTCCGGGATAGAGGCAGAGTCACAACAGTCTTCCCTAGCATGCCAGGAGCTTCTGAATACCTGGGAGGGGCAAGCAGGGCAGGGCACCTCAGCGCCCTTAGATGGTTCAAGTGTGGCCACTGCTACTGATAGTCAAGAGGGCCAGGGAGGCGGGATCACCTCTGTGGGCTGTACGTGGTCTCCTCCCCTATAAAATGAGGCCGTCAGTTTAAATCAGCAACTCCCAGACTTGTGTTACCCGCATACCATATTTACAATTTTTGCTACTAGCTGCATACCATCAGTTATTTATGTAATACTTTTCTTTATGCTTCAGTAGATCTCTCACCTTAATTGAAGGTACACAAAATCATGGATTTGGTGTGTTACTGTGTAGCACTTAAAACCACCTTGTGAATCACTAGAGCTACTCTTCTGACACTTGGCGAAACAATAGTTTGGACCACAGGTTCTCCAAGTGTGGTCCCTGGACTAGCACAATCAGCATCCCATGACCCTATGAGAAAAGCAAATTATATGGCCCCCATTCCGGACCTGCTGAATCAGAAACTCTAGGGTGAAGCCCAGGAATACAAGTTTTATCAAGCTTCCAGAGGGTTCCGACAGACACTCGAGTTTGAGAACCATTGGTTTAGATGACCCTCAGTGCCTTCCAGTTCTCCTATGCTACAAAGACAGGGACGACCAGACACAGAAACCCCAGCTTTGCAGCCAGATCCTAAATCTGTAATCTTGGGAAGCAAGGCAGCCTCTCCGAGTCCTAGTCTCCCCATCTGTACAAGGAAGATTCCTCATTTGCTCACAGTGCTGTCAGGAAGCATGTGTTAGAGGTTTACTAAATATTATTTTCCTTTCCTACTCTAATTTAGGTCCTAAAGATCATATTGCTTATGTCTTAATTGGCCCCATTATTTTGCATGAATGTTCGGGAGTTAAGGAGTAGGGAAGAGGAGACAGAAGTAATCCAGGAGGCACTTCAGCTTTGTGTCCATATTTTTCTTTCCATCATTCCCCGTCCCCACATAGGACGAAAGAATAGGATTCCCTGGTAGACAAACCATACCCAGGGACAGGCTGGGAGCCCCTACTAGTCCAAGCAGAAGTCTGCAGCAGGGGCCCTCTGGTGCCACCGAGGCCACTGCCTTAGAAAAGAACCCAGAGTTGGACCGCAGGACACCACCAGAAAAGAGAAAAAAGGCAGAGATCACATGAGCTCCCAGCAGGGAAGAAATGGCTGGCTCTGGGCTCTCAGTCTGCGGGAGAGCTCTGCCCTGGTGGCTGCGCCAAATGCCCACAAGCTAAGGCGGGGCTGGACCCTGGGCTGCCCCAGAGTAGGATCCTACGGCCCAGAGGAATAAAGGAGGCTGGTAGGTGCTGGGACCTGTGAGTGATTTTCCACTCTGTGGGCTACCTGCCAGCTTGGCCCAGGCTACTACCAGGAGGTCAGAAGCAAGAGAGACCACTGCCCCTTCCTACTGTAGTGCAAGGACGGTCCTCTCTCAGTCTGTAGTCTCTACATCATCAACATGTGAAGAATGCTCCCAGACCAGCAGTACTGGGACCCCCAGAAAGTGTGGGAGAAATGCAGACTCCTAGAAGAGACCCTATTTCCCCAAGCACACATACAATCAAGGAATCAGAACTGCATTTTAACAAGATCCTATGTCCAAAAAGTTGTGTATTTTTACTATTTCCAAATCTATCAGGGATTTTGAGGTCAAAATAAGCTCCTAGGAATTCTTTAGCAAAAGAAATAATCACCCTCATGTACTTTTTGGACAAATCTCAAATTTTATTAAATGTCCATAGGGAAAAACCAACATCGAGGCTTTAGTGGCCAGAGCTGCACAGGGAGAGAGCTAGGCTCCCAGATGGCACTGACTTGCTCTGAGGTGTTGGGAACGCCCTTCTGCCTCAGCTCACTCCTCTGGGAGGCGAGAAACCAGAAGGGGTTTCTCCCACCAGCCGGAGCAATCCTGACCCAGGTCTAAAGCCGCCCATGCCAGGTAGAGTGGGGGCTTTCCCGAGCCTCGTGAGAGGCCAGCTTGAAAGATCTCTTTGTTCTGGTCTCTCATGCTGACCTTTTTGAGCAAAGCTGCCACTTTTAACGATATCCAAACAGGGCCTCAAACAAACCCTGGCTCAGAATCAGGCTGCATGTGAGGAAGGCAGGAAGCCACTGATTCCAACTCAAGTAAAGCCTGGCTGACCAGGAACAGAAAGAAAAAGGAGCTGTGGGTGCAGGAAGGGGTCAAGGAAAACAGCTCGTCTTAGGGAGGCCTCCAGGTGTGGACGGGCAGGGAAGTGACAAGTCCGTAAGTCCCCTTGTCAGCAGCAGGCAGCAGTGCAGGCTTTTCAAAGTGCTTTGTCTCATTCAGTTTTCGCAGCTTCTGATGAGGCTGGCGAGGCAGGCTTTGTTATCTCAGGTACCAGCACAATGCTCGGCACGTACAAGGCACTCAAGAGATCATTGTGGAATAAAAAACTCCCCATTTTCTGATGAGAAAATTAAAGCCTAGAAGATGTTTGCCTTTTCAGGTCATCACTTACCCAAGGGGAGAGGTGGGCTTATTGCAGGCACCAAGGGGTTCAACTTTTACTTCCCTCTAACTAAAAAGACCCCTGAGAAAGACAACACCTGTTTTTCGACTTGCCATGGTTATACTTTCCTTTGCTTGCCTTAGAACTCCAGGGCTCCCAGGACTCAATTGACTAAGTCTTTATGAAGTGTCTACTACGTACCAAGTACCTGGTCATCAGTCTTGTTCTCAACAGTCACCCAACAAATACTGGTGGAATGAACTGAGAGACTGAATGAGTGAATGAGTATCTTGTTCACGGTCCTGCACATGAGGAGTTCAGGCTGTTAAATTAGCCATACTCTTAACTTATTCAGAGCTTATCAAAGTGTTTTACATGTAGTAGATGCTCAACAACGATAAAAAATTGGGGTGGGGGGGTAGTTTGATTTGAAACAGAGAATAAGAAACTACATGGGATTTTTGGCTGAATGGAACCTAAACAGACACAAGTTCACACGACCCTGACTAGAGGTCCCTGTTTCAGGGCTGACACTGCTGTTGGATGAGAGGTTTCCAGTCAAAGACTCAGAAAAGCACAGCCAGTTGGCAGATCCCACAAGCTGGGGGGTTGAATCAGGAGACAAGGTCAGGTGAAGTTCAAAGGTTATCAAGTTGTTCACTCCTGTCGTGGACCCACGTCATCATTTTCAAAAACTAAAGCTCTCCTCTTCACCCCTAGCCCCAGAAAAAGGCTGTGACACTTCCCTTGTGGGCACTGAGGTTGTCCTTTCTTTCTAGTGAGATGTAGGGTGTGTAGTGGGTGCTAACAATGAGTAAAGGCTATGCATTAAGATAGGCTGGAAGAGTGTATGTCTCCAGT